TTTATTATTTCTTCTTGTCATTTTCTCTGTCTTTCTTCCTCACTCTTCTCTTATGTAGGACAGAGCTTGTGTATAGATATATTTTCAGTGTATCGGTCCCCGGAAAGTAGAATTGGAGATCATCCAAGGAACAGATTGTCCCACTTTCACATCCTGCAAAGTGGAGCGGCCAAGATCTGTCCTCTATATCCCTCTCTTTGACTGGGTCTGCACCCTTCAGCCTCTAGCAGATAGCATCGATAACGGGTAACGGGGGCTCTTGAGCCGTGCTCCAACACGGGATGGATGGAATGAGTCACTAACATGAAGGATGAGGGTACTTAGGTTTTGTATGAATGGTGCTACACCAGCCATCGGGTCCGGGGGTGTTGCTGTGACGTAGGAGTTTATGATGTGAGAAGTGTGATCCTACTGTATGGAGCACAAGCACTCTTAAATGTTAATGCTAAAGGACATTGTTATTAGAAAAGTCTGTACATTTTACAGTCTCTGTAAAAGTTCACAACAGTCTTATAGAAAACAGCAGTGAAACACATCAGGCCCTAAGCACATTGTGCCCAGGGGCCCCTGCAATGATAATCCGGCCCTGACTTCAGGGTAGATTTACAGGAACCTCCCGACATGCACGTGTCTCCACTGTTTTTCGGGCCGTTTTCAGGGACCTTCTGAGAACCTGCTCTGGAGTAGGTACTCCGAACGGCCCGGTGGAGTAGCAGAGCGGAACCGCCGGTTAACTCACGCTGACTGGTTGTAATTCAGTAGGTAATGACATCGGCAGACGTCCAAAACAACCGGCAGCAGTAAAATTAGAAAGGTAGCTGGTGAAGCAGGATGGAAGTAAAAAATACTAAGCACCGACTGCATTTAAAGCTGGGATTCCCCCACCCTTCGTCAACAGATGTTTCTCTTCAGTCTAGCTCATGTCAGCAGAGTTTCTCTAAAGCTCCGATGCGGGATGAAAGCTGGTGGATGTTGGGAATCAGGAGAGTTTCATCAGCAACTGTTAATATTTCATCGTAACGTTTAAGATTCAAATAAAATCTGGTTTTATGAATGCACTTTATGAAAAAGCACAACACTTTAATTTAATTTTTTCCAGCTGGTACCAAAGCAAACTAATCTACCCTGCATGCACTCAGAAGTTCTGGCATCTCCCACAGCGAGGGTCGATAAACGTTCCTGTTGAACAACAGCAGATGCTTTTTAATCAGCCGCATGTGATGCTAATCCAACACAGAAATCATTACCCTTTTAAATCTTTCATGAAGTGAATGATTGAACTAGCTTTCTGAACAGTTCTGATGCTCATCCGTTTGAATTATTCCAGGGGGTTTACTTGCTGTTTTAGGAAACAGGGACAGGGTTTACACATCTGGCCTGAGGGTCCGTGCAGGTGTGCAGCTGCTGATGCAGATTCTGACTGACCATCTTAATGCAGTAATCAGTTACGTCTGTAAAGGAGAAAAGGTCAACCATAGATAGATCAATAGTCGGACTAGTCACTCTAGTCGGCTTCAGTCTGGAGTTGATGCCCCCTTCACTGGAAATAACTGGGTCAGGTAGGGGGTGCACCGAGGGCCTTTCTAGAGCTAAACTGGGCTAGATGCAGCACAGATTAGGGAGTGAGCATCCCCTGTTCTATTTAAAAATCTCCTCTCTTCCTGTAAACACAGAAAAGGTAAACAAAACGTCTTTGTCGACCACGAAGTAAATCCCCAAATCGTGGTTTCCCTGTGTTTTTCTTTTTCATTTTTAGTTCATGATCTCATTTTTGTTGTTTGCTTTTGTGGGAATCCTAGTATTGTGCATCATTTAGGATAAATTCTATTTCTAAATGTCCTGTCACTTTAAAACAGTCAGATTAATTCAATGTGAGGTACTTTATCACCACTAGATAAATAACTAAGCATAACAACGCAACATGGAAGGTAAAGTTCAAAGGAAACAAACACTCGCTGGTTAGTGGCTCTCACTTACTGTTAGATAGAAAACTCATCCAAACCACACTGGTTCTTTATGAAACAATCAGATTTGCTTGTTTCAGCAAGTACAAGTCAGCTAGAGGAGAAACAACAGGATTTG